AGTTCAAATATCAAATCTATACTTTCTTTGTACTTTCCCAGTAAAAATCAACTAAAAGTAATATAACAATGTTATAAATATAATTAAATAAAAGAAATAATATTTTCAATTAAAGTGGATCTTAATGTTTGAATAAATATGTGCAATTTTATACATATCTGATTCTGCAAACTGCGTGCCGAAATCTTTTTCGATCTTGAAACGCAATAAGCAGAGTAATAATACTGATCTGATTTATCCTGGTTGAGGCAATAATTTTTGCAATAAATTGTTTGCAGATTAAAATTAACACCATTATTAATATTCTTAAAGATGCTTATTAGTATAAAAAATTATTAAATTGCTTGTCAATTTAATAAGTGATATTACTATTCTGGATCAGCTTATATATAATTGCATTTTAAGACCGAAAAGATTTGGCGTGCGGTTTGCAGAATTAAATATGTATATAAATTTACATAAAAGTATTTATATGGAAATATTTAAATAGCACGAAGATCCATTTTGAATACAGAATTTTTCTTATTTAATTTATTTTCAGGTCCAAATTCGTATTCATAATTGTTTATCGATGTTATAATTGTACATTCTTTCAACAATAAAACTGTTATGTAATATGTGTTATATTATTATACATTTATATTGTTGAATATAAAATTATAATATAATGTTATATCATTTTTACTGGGTTATCATTATAACACAAAAATGGCGTATTGATGAAGTCATCGAGTAAGAGAATCGGAAGGATTAAAAGCAGAATTGACGCGCGACAGCCGCCTTCTAGCATCCCACGATGTTTGAGAGAAAAGCTGCATTACACCCAACAAAAAAGCCACGATGTTTCCCACGTGATCCGTCGAAGCGAGGGAGGCCGAGTTCACCCTTTTGCAGATTGCGAGTGCTCATTGTTTCACGGAACAATAATAACCCACTGCTCTCAATAATAATCTGCGCGACAAGTGTGCGAAAATTCGGCGGGCGAGAATTGCAAAGAGTCAGAAAGAAGAGCAGTAGAGAGAGAATGAGAGAGAGAGAGAGAGAGAGAGAGAGAACAAAAAGAAAAAGATAAAGGAAAAAGAAAAAACGAAGAAATATATATAAATTTACAAAATTTAAATATAATTTAATATTTAGATAATAAAGAAGTGTAAAGAAATTTTTAAACAAAAAAAAATATGCAGAAGCATTAATACTTTTACTTCTTTGCAATCTGAATGGTTCTACTAAAAAATTAATTTGTAGAAAATATATTTAAGATATAAAATATCGCATTTTTGTTCTATGTCTATAAATGATTTGCTATATAAACGTAGAGAAAACAGGAAAAGAAGAAAAGAAAAAGCGAGAAAAGGAAATTGAGAGAAAAGAGGAAAGAGAGAGAAGAAAAGAACTATAAGGGAGACGCGAAAAGGAGAAGAAGGAGGAGGAGAAGAGGAGAGACGGATGGATCATGTAGGGGGTGGCGCACAAAGACTGCGCAAAACACACAAACAGGCGTATTACAATAATGGCCGTGCGTGTTGTACAAATACGATATCGGCTTGAGGGGTCCACTGCACGGGCACGTGACCCTCTCAAAGGGCTCGCATAACGAACACCCCCGACGGCGAGGCACCCCCGTCGAGTCGCTCGTGTTCCGCGACCAGTTAGCGGGGTTAACTTACAACCCCGCGGCTAACACGCTTGTCTCGACCCCTGAGAGTTAGCTTTTTTCTCGTTTTATTATGCTTTTTTCCCTTTTTTTTCTCCCTTGTCGCGTCATTGCGACGATTACTCGGTAATTTCGCCCGTTTTCCGCGTTTTTGGGGGACAAAAATTTACGGCGCGCATTGCGCCATTGTAATTTGGACCTTCATTAGAAGCAAGTTGCCAGATTTAAGTTGATAATGACGTTGTAACGTGATAATGAATTCGCCGAGCAGGATCTCAAATAATTGACCCTAGGAGACTAATTTTTACTATTTATATTTATATTAACTTTTTGTTCCAGAATTATGAAAATTGAAAAATTGGAGATGAAGCGCGATAGTTCAATCTTTTATAGAAATCATAAAGAAAAAACTTATTAACGAGTCAATTAAACATTATTTTGATAATTAAGCTGTTTCCGAAATTTGAATAAATTACTTTTGTGTTCTTACAATTATATATTATGAATATAATTAATAAATAAAATTTTTTTTCTAAGAGAGTAAACTATTTATGTTATAGATACACATAAATAACTGACATTAAACATTCTATAAGTTTTCGCCTTTAGTTTAATCATTTGCATTACGTAAGTCGATTGTCTTCGACTTTCCGTTATATTAAATAAATTTAGAAGGTTAATTATATTTTTGATTATCATCTTTATAATACTTAATTATAGTTATCTTTATAATACTTAATTATATATAGTTAACTTTGGCGATTCCTTTGCAAGCGCAGGACAATTAATTTCGCGACGATACGTTCGCATGGGAAAATTTCATGCATCGACCGTAGGCGAGCATTCATTCTCATTAATAACTCCGCATCCTCAGCCTTTATCGTTCGTGTTTTATCGAGGGCTTTTTTCATACTAGATTTCCATAATAATAAAGAGAAACGCACCACGATATCGATGATGTCGTCAATACGTTTCACATAGTTGACAATTCGTAAGGGAGGAACGACGTTTCGAATGAACCAGTAAGGGCGTGTAATAGAGGGTGTATATTCGAAAACTATTATGGGTACGTCTCATATACTTTGACACGTGCTGTTGCAAGTTGTAAATCACTTGTGTGTGTGTTTCCCGTAAGTTTAGCTGCAGACAAGAGTTAAGGGGACAAATGGATAAAGAAACTATTTTTTAAAACTTCATCACATTTCTTAATTAGTTTTGTAGATTAATTATTTTTAAAACTAAATTATGTATAAGAATAAAAAATTTCTTGTCTCTGAAAAAAATTGTACGAATTTTCACAATTTTATAGAATTTATTTATAGCTGATTTTGTATAGAAACAAGTATGAATCATATGAGTTTTTATTACTTCTTTAATCATCTAAATTCTAAATAGATCATGTTTTTATCAGTATTAATAAAATGCTATAGTTATATAGTTTCCAAAAAATAAGGGTGTCTCTTTTGAAGATCTATGTTAGCATCGGTTTCTTCCTTCTAATATTTTATTCCTTCTAATAATTTAATATTTTAATGAAATTTATTTTTGTTAAATTGATTGAAAAAAAATAGTATTTTAAGAGAAAAAGGAATAGAATTCTTCAAGAAGAATTATTAAAATAGATTAGTTTTATAATGATGGTTTTCTAATAAAGCGCTTAGTTCTTTTTATAAAAGAAATATTTTATATAGGCACGTATTGCGGTTTATCTAGTTTAATTACGCGTCAATATTTTAAATTACGACTGTATTTCGATTGCTGTCACGACAGTGGAAGTACTTTGTCAAGTGAGGCCTATTTACACGACTGACACAAAATTGACGTGTGAAGTACGCACTTGTGCCTGACAGGATGGCCTTCGACAGAAACGACATGAAGTCGGGGTAAAATCTATTATCTGAATATACGCAGTTTCTGTTTATAGAAAAATCATTATGAGATAAATTTAATCTTAATTCGAAGAAGTTCTTTAATAAATTAAATTCACGTCTCTATTATAAAAAATTCATGTTTTGTAAAAATAATTTCGGTTTGCTTTATTTTTTTTTAATGAAGGCAGCGGAAATAATAAAATTTGTATATATTTTAATTATTTCGTACGTGAAATTGAAAATAAAAATAAAATAAACTTTAGGCATAGGAAAAAAAGATTATAAGAAATAAATATAAGTTAACCAATGACTTTTCTAAAATTTAAGAACTGCAATCCGATGATATCAAGCGCTGGAATATCTACTCCACGGCGCAAGTTTTAGATTAAAAGCGGAATTATGATATTGCAGATATTGCAGCAAAATTATTGCATATTCATATTTTCTTTTCCAAATTTTAAATTTAAACTTTTAATAATAATAAATAATATTATTAAAAAGCATCAATTTTTGAAAAATAAAAATTTTAATAAGATTAAAAATTAGTCATTTATAATATTTATAGTATTTATTTATAGTATTAATATCTGTATACATATTTTATATATTATACATATATATATTATATATATATTATATAAATGTTCTTTTTCCATACTGTTTGTTTTTGAGAGAAGCGGCAGACGATGAAACTTTTAGTCGAGTTGTATGAACCCAACAGAAGGTAAGAACGAAAGCTAGACTTTATATCGATTATAGTCAAAAGTATATCTTCTGCAGTTAACTCTTGCACAAAATATACCATTTGATGATATGTGAATAAAAGTCTAAATCTGCTGATAAATTCTTTTGTTTACAAATGTATGTATAAGCAAAATACAATTCTGTGTATTTAAATGCAAAGGAGTAAAATAAAAAATCGTACAATATAAAAGAATTAAAAGTTATTTTAAAGATAAAAACAATTATACGTTTAGTAGATATGTAAAATATACAATGGTTTTCTATATCTGTAAAGGTATGTAAATACTTTACATTAAGTGATAGAAGTAATATAAAGTAATACTTCTTTAACTTAAACTTTACAAAAGTGACAGAAGTATATATAAGAAAAAGAGAGAGGAAGAAAATGCTAATGTACTTTAGAGCTTGGTTACTGATACAGTGAAGAAATATTAAATACGAAGCAGATACTTCATATAATATTTTGAAAAAAAATGTATTATTTTTGTTTAATAACACTGAAACTTTTACTGTGAATTATAAAAGGGAATAAAGAAAGTTTTATTGACGAGAAAGTTTTTATCAAACGTATTTCAAATATTCTCGTATTTTGTTTGCCGCCTTGTATAGTGCCGTGCATAAATTCAAAGCCATCGCACTTGGAGTGTCAAAAACAAACAAACAGTAAGTTAAACAAATGCAAATCGCACCTGGCGTGTGGCCAATATCAGCAATCGATTTTGTAGCCCGCAATGCCTTTCAAGAAATTCAGGCCGAAGTTCTCTATCTACCAAGTTTGCGTTACTATACTCGAAGCAAGACATTTACCACAAAATGCGAATCCGCTGGTCGTCGTCAAAGTTGGAAATCGCAAGAGAAGGACAGTGTTACGTGAGAAGACTGACAATCCTATTTATAACGAGGTGAAGTTATCCAATCTATCAAAACTAATTTATATGAAATGTTCGTCTTGAAATTATAAGTTAGAATGGATTGATTGGACAGACATCTACACAATCTTTGAGTACTAAAATATTAAAATCTTTGTTAACCTAGTTTTTAAAATTTAAAACTTAAAACTGAAAGTTTAAAGACTTTAGATTCGTTTCCAGAGAATTCTTAAGTTCTTTAAATCTTGTAGATTGTAGATATGTATAGGATATGTGTAGGACATGTTTATATACAGAAACTTATATATATTTCTAAATTTAAAATAGTTTAAATTTTGAAGTTTTTAGACTTTATCTAATTTCATAAATTAAAAATTAAATTTATTTATTTTAAAACATTTGCAATTTGTGATTAAAATGATATCATAAATTATTAAAATTTTAGAAACTTCAAGTTATGCAGTATTCTTGCAGATATAAATCTTTTAAATTCAAGAACTTTAGAGTCTATCAGGATTGAAGATTCTGTATTTTAAATGAAATACAGAATCCTGAAATTTTTCTGACATTTAACTTTCGGAATACTATGTGCGTGAACAAAGATATTCTATTCATGTGGACTTACATATTTACCTTTTGCTTTTTAAATACACAGTACTTCGTATTCGACTTCACATGCAGTTTGGACAATCTACTAAACACGAGAATCACGATAGCAGTCTATCTGCGCAACTTTGTTCGGCTAAAGTTTCACGGAAATACTTCCTTCGAAGTTGCCACAGTATGGGAACAACCAGGTTATCAAAAAGAAAAATGAAAAGAGAGATAAAGAAAATGCGGATGTATAAGCTTTATAGCTTTGTTACTGATACAGTGAATTAAAAGGAAGAGATAAATTCTTTCTAAGTGGCAAACAGCTTAAGGGAGTTAGAAGGTCATAATGCTTGAAAATTATACTTACTTTAACAATTTTTTATGAAAAACTGAATAAATATATAACAGCAAAGTTTTAAGCTATATTTATACAAATAAAAAGTAGAAAAATATGTTGTTTTAACAAATATAAATATACGATATATGTATATGTATATAACTACACTGTAAAAAATATTATGACGTTTAATATACTTTTAAGTTACATAAGTTGAATTTAATTTCGTAACATTACGTTACATTAAATTTAATGTAATTGTTACTGAGTATATTTGTATACATGTACATAAAATTTAATGTACTTTTCGTAAAATTTTATTTGGATTTGCATGAAATTTAATACATACAGTCATTACATAATTACTACTGTAACTTAGTTTCCAGTTAAACCATTCATTACTTTTTATAAAAGACTTTTCATAAAAAAGTTACTTTGTAACCACAAGCTTCCTTTACATGTTACTTGAATTCATAACAAAATTTCTGACAGTGTTAAATATACTCTATTTCTTTTTCGAGATCGTGGTTTTGCAATAATATCTCCCTTCGTGGTAATCCGATTATGGTGCATTTTAGTCGGAAGTATTCAGAAGACTTGCCGTTATTCGGTAAATCATGAACAATGCCGTTAAAATATTTCGTTTTACGACTAATTCTTTAATGTAAAAAAATTAAACAAAAATTGAGTTTCTTAAAATAATTGCTGTCATTCTGCTAATTTTTATTTGATTTATTTTGTAGTGAATTAACAGATAACGGCAAATCTTCCGAAGATTTTTAATTAAAATCGGACCACTCAAAACTATCGTTGCGAAACAACTAAAAAGAAACGAAATATATTTCCGTTATATGTGTGTATAGTACATTTATATTTGTTAATAAAAAATATTTTTTTCTATTCTTTATATGTATATTGCATAAATGTTACTCAACTAAGCATTTGTCAATAAGAAACTAAATATACATATATCGTATATGATTATTTGTCAATAAAGAATATATTTTTTGACTTTTTTGTATGTCATATGAATATCGCTTAACACATTTTCGCATATTTCTTCAATTACTTATATAAAATTATCAAAGATTTCGAGCAATCTGACCTTCCAATGACCTTAATTATCCGAAAAGTATAAGTCTGTTTATAAATAAAAATGAAGAAATATCTCGGACATCGGAGAAACGCTTCAAAAATTAAAAATAAATACGTTCGATTTATCAAGAAGTACTTTCAAGTTGTATGTGTTGCTTCTGTATGTAGATCGTCAATACTATCATAAGTGGGCTGTGTTAACAGATCCAAAGGATCTGACGGCGAGTCCAAAGGGTTACGTAAAGTGCAACATTCTGGTGAACGTCAAGGATGAGAAAGTCAAGGTGCATCCAGAAATATTAGATGAAGACGATATCGAAGGGTAATTTCTTCCAAAAGATAAATTTCCATCATTGACATACCCGTAATTTACACCGAATGGCTTATCAGAATTTCCATTGTTTGCTTGAATTTCGCGCTTGAACGTAGGAACCTCCTGCTTCCTATCGGTGGTGAGAAACTGCCGTTCAGACAACGTGCTCGATACGTTTTCATTGTTTATCGCGCCGACGGTTTACCCGACATGAGCAGTTTGTGCAGAAAAACCAATTTCGAGAATATTAATCCCTATGTGCAAATATCATTCGCTGGAATGAAGGTATGAAAGAGTTCATTGTTATTTTCACGCGGAGATAAAATTTCAAAACGTTTTTAATTCCTACGAGAATAAATATATAACATTAGATATTTAATGCATAAATTTTGCTACTACCGATGAGAAGTATTTATTTAGAGAAAACACGGCCTTACACGGTCGGATCAAACGATTACAGGTTGTAGTGTTTTCAGGGAACAACGAGTGAAGCATGGCAAACCTACTGTCCGAAATTCTACGAGGCCATAATTTTCAAGGAGATGTTCCCCGTTTTCTGCCATCGTGTGAGAATCACTATAAAACACCGTATCGACAGTTGCCGGACTTGCACCGTAGCAGTATATATCCTGGATACAACAAAGATCTCGAATTCCGGAGAGTATGGTGAGATCATCAAATGATTCTCTCTCGTTGTCAAGAATAAAAAACGGCGTAATATAATTTGTTTCCGGATAAAGTAAATTTGGAATAAATAGATATATTTACACACGTACACTGAAAGAAAAATTTTTGGTATTTGTGACTAATAATTACATGTTATCATAATTATGATTATTACTTCTTTAATGTTAGTAATAATAATTTATGTATAACTTTTATGTATAAGTACGTAGAGTACACTTTATCAATAAATATACATATAGAGTTAGCACCGAAAATGATAGTTAAATTATATACAGTTAAATTATTGTAGTTGCAACTATTTTTTTATAATAATAATTGTAATTTACAATCACTTTTGATGCCAACTGAATGTATACTATACATATATAGTTCTATCAACGTTATGCTTAACGTTATAATAATTATGATAATTATAATAAGCAATAATTATGATAATTATAATAAGTATTAAGCTTTTCATTTTTATACTTATTTATTGTTATATTATAAATAATTGTATTTATATTTCTAGAAAGATATGTTAAAAAATACTTAATTAACATAAAAAAAGACAATTAAATTGTAATAATTGTAACCACTTTTTTCTTTCATTGTGTCTTTATCTCCCAATATCTCCATATCTTTACTCCAAATACGATAAATTGTTTACGATATAGACTCATATATTTTAAATATTTTTATATTACGATTAAGTCTAATAAATATTTACACAAATAAATTTCCAAGTATAAAGTTCGAGATCAATCCTTATTATTGTCATTTAAAAGCACGCTCACTAATATGTACAAAGTTCAAGTAAATGTTAGAAAGTAATAAAGAAAGAGTGCGACGTGAAAAATTGCAAAGATAGCATTTGTCCTGCCAACAGGATTCCTGCCGACTTACGGGCCGTCTTTCATCCACTTTTACGGATCCGGCTCCGTGGAAAAGAACGGCTGCTCGGGCAAATGCTTGACAGCAATGCCTTTGTATCGCGGAAGGGTGCTTCTGTCGCTGAAAACTGAAATGGATGACCTAGAAGCATCCCCCGGAATCGGAGTTGAAACCATTCCAGCATCTCCCATTATTGAAGTGATTAGATTTGTTATTATGCTTCACTTTTGCGACAATTTATTTTATTTATAGTTAAAATTTAATATATTTTCCTTATAAAAAATTGGTTTTCCGCAGCAATAACTTTTATAATCTTACCAAAAATTTCTATCATTAAATTAATTTATTTTGCTATATTCTTAACCCTCAGTACGCTTTGTACCCACAAAGAATTAACATAACCTCTCTGATTTTCATAGTTCAAATATTTTTTCCGATCCCTTTTCGCTTATTGCAAAATATCTTTTGTGGTACGACATTTTAGACTTTCTAACTCAAAAATTTTCTTTTTTTCAGTCTTCAAACAATAGATTAAAAAAAATTAGTTAAAATCGATGCACTACAATCTGCACTACAAGCAAAAGGAAATGCTGAGTTATAAATATTCAGTTGTGGGTCGATAGGGATTTTTTTGAGATGTGGGTACTGAGAGTTAACAAATGTAAAACAATGCCTAAAATATCTTTGAAATCTGATTTATTCTAATAGATTCTAATAAATCATTTCTTTTTAATTAAAAAGAAAAAAGTTATGCTTTGATTGAATAAAATGTAAAGATTTATACGGAATTAAAAAAATTACAAACACTGAAATAAAATAAAATAATTTCTTAGAATTATTTGTAATAAAAGAATGAAATATTTAAAAAATGTAGAAAAGCTTATGGTCGACTGAGGAATATCTTTTGGTCGGAGTACTATACAACGTGTGCTTGATCGACCGTTCTAGATTTAGATCGAAATTAATCAGCTTTGAATTGAGTCTGGGAAACGCAGGAAATCGACAATTCTCGCATAGTCAATGCATAGAAAATAATGACAATCAATCAGGTGCTCTATAAACTTTTATTTTTGCTCATCACATTATTGCGTCTGTCCGAAAAACGTTTTAACACTAAATGTGACTGTAAATGGAAACGGAAATGAGAATTTAGAGAAGACAATTTGTTTTCAAATACCTAGTATTTTTCTTTCATCTACCACAAATCCAGCAATGTAGTCGCCATCGATTGCGATTTCTACTGGATGGTTCCCGATAAGAGAGACAAATTTTCGGGTGGAGGAGACGACTGTTTTAAGGTACAAAATTTATGTTGTGCAACTTACTACTTTTCCTCTATCTGCAATGGCATCTCTACAGATTTGTCGCTGTTGATAACAGTCACTCTGTATTTGTCTCATGTGAATTATGCTTTTAACGTCAACGCAAGATGGGAAGCAGAAAGTCACATTTAGCATTGAGACGTGCGATAAAAATATTCTTTTCCTCGTTTACTTTTGCCTTCGGCAGAAATCGAGTTGCTGAAAAAGCGATTGAACTTCGAGAGTCAATCAACCCCGCGAACGACCGGCACTTTAGACGGCAAATATAATTATGTACCTTTGGGATCCAGAAAGCCTTGTTTATATGTGAGATCTTGGTGGCCAAATTTGGAATGGAGGATGAATAACAACAATAATCTTCGCTATATTTCTAATTTTTTGGTACATTGCAATTAGATGTCATTAAAAATGCGTAAATTTTTAATTGGAATAGATTTAAAATATTATTTCGAAATCAGATTATAAAAATTACGATGTATTTATTAAAATTTATTATTAAAATTTTATTTTAAAACTAAACTACATTATTAGAATTATAGCGTATTAATTTTTTAAATATTAATTTCAATATAATTAATAAAATTATAATTATTTTATTAAAATTTATTTCAATAAATTCATTTTTTAATAAATTAATTTTAATTTTATTAATTTTATTAAAGTTAATTTTAATAAAATTAATACACTCTAATTAGTTATTATTAATTCCTTATTATTGTTATTACTTATTATTAAAAAAATATTAGGTAAAATATAATTTTAAGTAAATTTTTAAACATCTTAACGTATTGAAATTATTTAACGCCAAGTACAGTTTATGCGAATTAGGAAAGTTATAAATCATTTTAATCTGATTTTAGGAGACAAGATTAGAAAAACTGGAGACTTTTATGGCTGTTGAAAATCCTGTAGCTTTCGAAGCTTACAACGAAACGATTCGCACATTAAGAGCTCACTGTGTGCGATATTTAGACGCGTTGGACACTGGCAGGGATGAATCCAAAGTAGGAACCACTAAACTCGATCGTCATCGTGCAAGTTTGTGTCGTAAAAATGTCAAAGATATACTTACAAGGATTAAAATCAACGGTGAACTTCCTAACAACAATTACATGAGGATTGCGATGATTCATGCGTATCATTATTTAAAAAAATTGAGGAATCTGTGCGATGATGTAAGTTAACAACGCTTCTACCAAGAAAATGTAAAGTAAAAAGAGAAATAACGCAAATCTTATTTCTTAACCTTTTGTGGACCAGATTTGAGATGTTCTCCTCTCTTTTTTTTTATTTAAATTATTTAAATAATTAGCTCGCTTAGTTTCTTTGAAGCTTGATCTATGAATAATTTAATAATGATTTATTCGTGTCTGAGTGTCAAAAATAAAAAATTCAGACCACTTAGTACACTTAGTACGGTGATAGAATTAAAAAAAAGATAATTAACAAAGCTCGATTTAAAAGTGTTTAGTAATATCAAGTTTTCAGTTTCGCTTTATTTAAGCTTTTGGTGACAAGCACTGATTTTCAAATTGACAATCAAACTCTGATTATGAATCTTGTGCTCTAAATCCTTCTTCATGGAGATTACTACACAATCAGTGGATAATATTTTTTCATTAATTATTTTACATTGTATATTTTATTGTAAAATTAATGACTATTAAATGTTTATTAAATATTTATTATATTTTATTCATTTCATATAAAGAAAATATTTATTAAATATTTATTTGATATATATATATACATATGTATACATTAATTCTATACAAAAGTTTGTATAGTTATCATATCTATATTATTACAGTGTTTTTCTCTGTTTACATTATTGTTTAGCTATTTACTCAAAGTTTTATATTTAATAAGCTTTATATTTTTACATGCATTAAAAAAAATTTTGATGGTAATTGTCGTTAATGACAATTAAAATGCTATTGTAAAATCATATGCTGGTAATGGATAACTATCATGGCAAGTCGATATATTAAAGATTTCTTCTAGATATTTTACGATTTCGATTTTACATGATGGATCATTTGATATATCGTTCAATCAGCCCCAACACAGTCTTCCGGATGTTTTTGTCTGGATGATCGCTGGCTCGAAGCGAGTCGCTTACTCGCGTCTGTCAGCCGAGCAGATCGTCTACTCTGAGGAAGCGACTGAAATGGGCGGGAAATGCGGTCGGCGAATCAATCTGTTCCCCAGGAATCCGGACGACGAAAGCGAGCCTGTCGAATACAGCGCCTGCAAAATCGAGGCATTTTTGTGGCTCGGCAACGCGAGGTACGCCGCCGCGTGTTGGAGTGCAATTCCGCCGGGATACGAGATCGATCACGGCAGAAATGTCGACACGTTCCCGAAGTACATCGAGTACAATCAGTTCTCGGTAAGAGACGAGTGAAAAGATAGCGACAGGGTATTACGATGCACGAAATGCACAAATTGATCGCGAGCGTAACGTTTGATTTCAAGAGAAATCAGATTGACGCGTCTCGACATTAAGGACAGACATTAAGGATGTTTTTGCCTATATCAGCTAAAAATATCAGGCAAAGTATCAGTAAAAAGAACCAACATCGACAAAAAATTTTTTTATCATAAATATACTGCCTCGAAATCAATTAAAAAAGACAAAACAACAAATAATTCGACTTATAATTTGCAGTGAAATAATTACATTTTTTCTATAATTTAGGTAAATAATTTTTAAGTAATAAATGTAAGTGAAAATTTCAAATAAACTTTGCACGATTTATTAGAGTTTTATTAGTATATAAAAGAATTTGATTTAATTCATAATGCTACAGCTTCATCCAATTTGCAAATAAGTACAAATTACAAAACGCGATTTTACATAAGAATTAAGACAAATAAAGAAATTAAATAAATTTTAATCAATAAAAGAAGTGTCTTTAAATTTTATATAATACTTAGACGTAATAGAATAATCTATTAAATTTTTAAATTATTGCTACTAATGCTCTCGAGATATGATACATATATTCAATTCTTAACGCTAGAATATCAACATTTTTCATTTATTAAAAGAAAATGAAGTAAATTATTATAAAAATAAAAATGTAAAAAAACCAAACATTAATGAAAGACATAATTATTGAAAAATAAAAAATTTTATCATCATATTTTTTACACAAAAACATGTGATATAAATCTAAAAAATAAAAACGATCAATGATGACCACTCGTTACTTCTAATTTGAATTGTAAATTGAAACGCGTGTAAAAATGATACACCACGAGATACTGCTACCTGAAAAAGATATATTGTGATCGTTACAGACGTTTCAGTTGAGAGCTCACATATTCCAAGGTCACTTTGATCCCGGAATGGACACTTCCGGCTTGTTGGATTCGTATATACGAGTCGCGTTTCAAGGATACACGGTTTCTACACGGGTGAGTTACGTTTAACATTTTAACGGAACGTGCAAATTTCACTTTCCCGGTTTTTGAATCTTTAAAATATGAAATTTCGAGCGAGATATAACTCGTCCGCCGGGTATCATGGCATTCTATATCACCGTGGTGATCATGCCATGTATGCATACACGGTCAGGATGCCGTGAAATTTCTGCGGTGTGTATTCCTATGACATTTCACTTGAAACGCGCGAGAGTAACGACCGATGTAATACGAGCGTGATTAATGTTGCACGCGCAACGTTTCGTTCCGTTCGTTCGCTATATGAGAGTGACAAATATTAAAATTTACGGTTTGTTGCGACTGTATTTGCTACTTAAAAGCGTTGTAATACCGCTTGATTTGAAACCGATTCGTATTCCATATTAACGAGATAATGCATGACTGACAAGTTTCAAATTGATATCATCAGCAACATCATTTATCATCGTTATTATGTGATTACCCTGTTATTATGTGATTAATAAGATCTAATTGATGATTAATTAAGTTGCAATAGACTGTTCAAAAATATAGTTCAATATTTATCCTGTCAATGTAACCGATGATAAATGATTATCAAGGAAGAAACCTTTATTTTAAATTATTCACCATTTTTAAGATGCTTATTATCAATATTGTCTATTAAATTGCTCAATTTAATATGAGATATTACTACTACTAATGATTGCGCCATTTCAAGACTAAATAAGATTTGGCACGCGATTTCCTGAATTGAATATGATTTCATACCCAGAAATATTGAAGAACTAACATTTAATCAAAAATAGAATTATTCTTCTTAATTAAATTACTTTTTAAATATACAAGTTGCTCCACTTTTACTAAATTATGATTACAAGATATATTTAAGTTTCAAGTTTTTTTAAGTAAATAAAACTAATTTTTAGTTTTAATTTTAAATTAAAATTTTCAAAAAAAACCAATTTGTAAAAATTTGTTATCGAATCTAGTTAACAATTCTTTATTATTGTGCTCTTTTAAAGCTTTTTATCGTTTATTTTTCATATAGTTTATTTTAAAATACAATGTAAGTATCACTACTATGCAAAATTATATTGAAAGTTGCAATTAAATTATTTGTTCAATTATGTTTATGTTGATCTTTCACATTTTTACATTAAGATTTTTATTATATTGTAGATGTTAAGATTTCTAAAATATTTCTATAATATTAAAATCTCTAAAATATGGTAGTATTATCAAAATATTATACAGTGACTATATGTGACATTTCGTAAAGAATCATATATAATTAGACCGAAACTATTTTAAATAATAAAGAACATTTTCAAGAAAGATGTTTGCATTTATTTAATAAAACTTAAAACTTACGTTAAATTTAATTTTTATATCTTTTGTATACTTTTATAATTTTTCCAGATGATAAGACAAAGTTTAGATCCATTTTGGGACCAGACATTAATTTTTCCTCCAATTATTTTGCATGGCAATAAGGAATATACTAAATTTCTACCACCCGAAGTCATCTTGCAGATTTTTCAGCATGATTTATGCGTAAGCAAAGCAATAGATTTATCAAATTTCTTGATAATATTTCCACAAAATGGGAAATATGTAAGATAAAGTAGTTCATCCAAAAAAAGAATACAAATACAAAATAAAAATATTGAAAATATTATTGTTCATATATAGATATAATCATTTTTGAAGTAAAAATGAAAAAAAAAAAGATTTTTGAAGTTATTCAATCAAACTTAAAAGTTACGTATTTTTCGTATACTGAAAAAATACAGAGCACGAGGGAATTCTGTGGCAAGTGTATCGCGGTGCCATTAGTGAAACTCACCACGGAAACTTACTCACCGCCCGATTTTCCACCGAAATTAGAGTGGTACAAATTCCAACCACAGAAAGATTGCACCGGTTCAGTTCTCGCCGCTTTCGAGTTGATAGAAGTGAGTTATCGATTTTTCTTCTCAGGACAAATATTAACACGATGTTTCAACAGTGTCACCTCTCTATTTTCATATAATACATTCTATTTAAGGATCAATATTTCTGTTTTTTAATATCAAAAAGATACTGTAAAACGCCATACAAAATGAGTATGTAGGGTGGCCAATAACTTCCCATTTTACTTTACTAATTAGTAATCGATTAATTTGTATAAAATATTCCAAAACATATCAATTTTGTTTTTCAAGAGAAATGTATAATTGTAATAAATTCAACCCTTGTGCTGTCTTTTTATTAAGATAGTTACTCCTTCAAAGATTTTAAAAATTTTGGCTTACCCTAAAAAATATCAGATTAAAGTATCAACTTAAAAATCATTCAGAGAAGCTAATATCAGTTAAAATGTTTAGCTACACCCTAAAACCAAATTGCAAAAAAATAAAAAACAAATAATTTGGCTTATAATGTTTGCGTTTAGCAAAAAAAGCAGCTTTGCAACTGTAAAATTCTTTAATATGATTTAATTTACTCTTCCTTAGTTCCTTACTGAACCTAAATGTATAAACGAAACATATTAAAGAATTTTTTTCTTAAAATTTTTTTTTTGGAAAGATACTTGAAAATTAAAATTTATGCTAAAAACAAGTCTCATACAATCCGATTTACGTCAAAAATTAATGCTGGATAAGTGGATAAGTGCTGTAGAATAACACCGGAAATGTTTCAAAATATCTGTAACTCGGATAAGAAGCTTTATTATTTTATGAAGGCTAATGGAAAATAACTTGAATATTTACATAGGTAAACTCTGCAAATTTTCAATTTTACATATCTAAAACTTCCAAATGCGATTTTTTTTTAAAGCATATATTGTATTAAGAGAACTAAGCTAAATTTTAAAGAAAGTTAAAATATTTTTAAAACAATATGCCCCTTGATTCTTATTGTCATTTAACATTTTTGAAGTGGTAGTTATCCTAATTAAAGAAATAAAGCATAATTAAAACACAATTGCCTTAGCCATAGATATAAAGCACTTTTCAAAGATGTTACGCTGTTTGTGGCGTTGTGTTATCTCCGTCTTGATTCATCGTTAACTGCCAACGTTCATTTCATAAAACAGTTCACTTCAGTGCGGGAAGCAACTTAACTGCAAACCGCAAACCACAAACCGCTTAGATTCTTTACAGAAAATACCTGTAGAAGCCTCAAAAGTATTAAAGCACTCGTAGTTTGCTGAATTTTCTTAAAAAAAGTAATAATAAAATCCAAAGGAAATACTATTATAAAATATTGTTAAAACACTGTTATAAAAATAAAATATTATTTTTCAATAAAATTATTTTTTAATTTATTTTTTGTTGGATATAGAAAGTTTATGTCAATTTATAAACTTTATATTTTTGGCTAAAGCTGTATATTCCCTTTAAAAACAAAATGGACATTTATATATATATATAAAATCACAGATAGAGAACAAAGAGATTGCGGACGTTCCGATGGATGTGTCAGTAGAGGACAAGATTTACAGCATCCCTCCGGATATCAGACCGAAAATGACGAGCTACAGACTGGAGGTAATCTTTTGGGGTGTTCGCGATATGAGAAAGATAAAATATATACCGATACGTAGGCCGAGAATTATAGTGGAATGCGCCGGAGTGCACATCAAATCGGAGGTAATGAAGAACGCTAGGAAATTCAGCAATTTTGAGGAACCACACATTATCATTGAACTGGTAATCTTGAAATTATTCCGAGAATAGTTAATTAGCAAACTTCGTGTGTAACACATGTGTGAGACGTTTAAACTAAATACATGTACATGCACAATTTAAGAGAAACGGATAGCTTTTAAAAAAAAAAAAAATAAGGACAGCTTCTTTGGAAAATCTGGAAATTGTATTTCGATAACAATTTGATTAATGTTTAATTTTGATTGTTGAAGTCTTTCAATGTTAATTGTCTTAACGAACAGAAATCAGACTACAATTAAAATAAATCAACGCAATATACACTATTAATAGCAAGAAAATGGAAACCACTTTAAAACACATTAATCATCAAGGAAATGCCGGAGCTCGACATTTACTATCCGAGCATCACTATAAAGGCTTATGATTCGCGCGGATTTGGCTGCTTCAAATATGCTGGGATCTGTATTATCCCTAACATCCATGTCTTCCTGGAGCAATTAATAACCGAGGAAGATTATGATGTGCAGATATACGAGTCGAAATTCATGCAGAAATTCCAGTTGGCGAAACGGCAGACGACAATAGTGTGTTAGTACGCTTTCGTATTATTGTTATTTAAATGGTATTATTGTTTATTATAAAAATATATTATAAACATTATTAAAATAATAAACATTATTTAATACGTTTTTATAATAAAAATGAGATGCATATACTTTATTATATTTTATTAAAAATATATTACATGTATAACACATTTAATACATTTTTATAATAAATATTATTTAATACGTTTTAATACCTTTAATATTAATACATTTAGTTTTTATTCTAAAAATGTATTAAATGCATTACATTTTGAATATGTACACATATTAAAAATATGATACATCTAATAAGGTAGAAATATATTTTTAATAAGATACGAATACAATAAAGCTAACTGCATATTGTAAAGAAGAAAGAGTATTTAAGGAAAAAAACTTAAAAATTAAAATTATTATTTCTTTCTATTGTTATTCGTATTATTATAAATTTTTATATTGTTTCATAAAAATAATTATAGGCTTTTTATATAATATTGTTCTTGTTTTATATTTGATACAGTACCTTTGCCAATCGATTATAGTCCATCGAAGGAGGAGAGCAAAGGTCTTATTGCGTATAAGAGAATGGCTGCAACGGACATCCGTTCTAAGCTGAGGGGGCTGCTTGTAATCATGAAGAGGATATTAAAATTCAAGATCTTTACTAAGAGAAAGAAAGTGGAAATTTACAAAGACAGCGATGATGAAACTCTCGATTGGTGGAGTAAATATTTTGCCTCCCTTCAGGTTCATATAACAATTTTAAATGAAAATAGTATAACTAATGCTAAAATTATTTTTGATTACTTTGCATGAAAAATTCATGAACATAATAAAATTATTGAAACTTTAAAGCTATCTTCAACTTAATTACTTTAATTTAATTATTTTAATCAAAGGTGTATTTATATTTTTTGAAATTATGACTTGTAATAGATTGATTAATTATTCTAACACAATTTTAATTTTGAAATTTAATGTTATTGAGATAATTTTAATGATAATTTAAAAATAATCTAATTTTCACACAAGTTGAAATGTTTGTTGTTTTTATATGATTGACAATTATTATTATAAACACAAATCAGCACTTAAATCCTGCTTGACTATGGTGTTCCTTATAAATTTTCAGCTTTTTTTATTTTTATAATTTTTGGTACTAAATTAAATCATATAAATCTAACTGCCAGACATTAAACTGCTTAAATACTTAGCTGCTTATTTAGAAATTCAATTGTTGTGTACCTAACGGTTAAGGAGCTTATTGTTAGTAGCTTAATTACCTAAATACTTATATGATTAAACATTTAATAATTTACTAGCTTATTTGCTTAGCAATTTAACGATTTTAAATATTTTTATCTTGCTAATTTTTTTCAATTTACATTTTTTATTATAAAAAAATTAAATTATAGGATTTATGACTTCGTAAATTTTATAGCTTCCTCTGCGTCGTAAATCTTGATAGTTTCCTCTGCATGAATCTTTCTGAAATTTTCCCTGATTCAGCTTTATTTCCTGATCATCGTAAATCGCGTTGCTGATAAATGAATCGATTTTGATCGAAATCATGTAGAACATGAGTCTTGATTGACTGGGATCAATCAACTGGGGCGTTTGATAATGCAAATTATTGACGTTGAATTCGCAGGAAGAGAGAAATAGAGAATTGGGAATCACGACAGCGTATCGTCGTAAACCCGTGGCGACGTTCAAGGTACCATTTAATGCACTCAAACTAGACTGCTTAGACACTGAAATCAGATCTATTCCACGGAGCTGGAGACGCAGCCGCAGTTCGAAGGGTTTCAAGACCGACTCCGCACATTTGAATTGTGGCGTGGAAGGAAGAGCGAAAATCCCGAGTATGCCGGAGATAATTACACCGGCAAATTTAAGGTTAATTTACTTTTAAAAAATGTCTAAATAAAAAATTGAGATAAACTTTATTAACGAGCGTATCCAAAACTCAGCTCGTGAAAGCTAAACGCTACTTTTTCATCGTTTTGTTGAGCAAGACAGATGAAAAACAAAAAAGAATAAACGCTAAAGCAGCTAATCACTGGGCAGAGTTCTAATCTTTATTCTTTTTCTTTTCTTTTCATCTTGTTCAATAAGATAATGGAAAATGATTAACTTGCGAGCTAATTAAGTTTTGGACGAGAGCTTCTTAGTATAAAAAGAATTTATCTAATCTTCTTTGATTACAAATTTATAATTAAACGTGATAAATATTAGCGTTTGAATCAAATAAACGAAATTCATTAAATGTCTCAAGCACTCAATTTACTTACGTCAAATACTGTAAATTGTGACTTCCTCCAGGGACATATTTCTATATACCGATGGCCGCATCCTGATAATCTTCCATGCAAAACGAAGAGCGGGAGAGATGCAGCTAATGGCCTGTGCAACGATTATCCGCCTCAAGAGTCTGTTAAGCTTCTCGTTAGACTTTACGTTGTAAAGGGTTAGTCTCCACGTAATATTACATGCACCAAAAAAATGACTAATTTTAAAAATGTTCCACTTGTTTGCTTTGATATTAATTTACAGATTCAAGAAAAGTAAATTTGAAGATATATTATCGAAATATTTGTTTCTAATTGTAAAACAGTGACAGACACTTTTATTTAATTTTATCTATAATATTAAAAATTAATTCAAACTAGTCAAAGTAATTATAGATAAAAGCAAACGCTTGGGATATTATGGGATATTATGGGATATTATGAGAAGTTTTCTTAGTACACATTTCTATCTTTTTTCTTTCTTTATTTCTTCTATTAAAAAGAACTAAAGGATGATTTAGAAATCCTTTTTATGGGAAATATGCCGGTACACCTTATACTCCTCGGTAAACTTATAGAAAGCCCGTCTGCGACATCGAGCTGACAGCAAATTTGCTTTACGCGCAGGCATTAACTTACAGCCTAAGGATCCCCTCAGCGGCAAGTCCGATCCATATCTCTACGTGAAGCTGGGAAAAAATTCTATCAACGACAGGAAGAATTATATACCCAATCAATTGAACCCTACATTTGGTCGGTAAGGTCAACAAAAAGCTGCTGCAGCTTCTTCCCAAGCATATCGCAGTATAGCTGTGCCCTTCGGGCGTTATCGGGAAATATTTTATCGATATCCATCTATGCATTCGTGTGTATTGGCTTTTTGCAACTTTCAAACTGCACGATCAGGTTTTCCAGCTACTTCACATAACAACGTAACGATTACGATAAGGGATTACGATTATTTTGATAATTGATGTTTTTGCTTTTTTAAAGGTATAATATTTAAAAAATATACTCTCTCTCTCTCTCTCTCTCTCTCTCTCTCTCTCTCTCTCTACCTTAGATTCTCTAGCAATAAATAAAATAAAATTCAATTTTTTAGTATCGCGTTACTTTCATCAAAATAATTAATAATTTATAAGTAGAATATTCTAAAAATATTTTATCAGTTTATTTTTCTAAAGACACTTTTTCTAAAGACTACTTTTAATAATTGATTTTAACTAAATAAAAAAATTGAAACAATTATTTTTAAATTGCACCATCGACTAATTTTTAATTATTTTATTTTGTGTAACAGTATGATATAAATATAATTAAAATAAAAATTATTTTGTTAATCATCATATTTTTCTCTTCTAAATATTTTATATTTAAAAAATAAACAGTTTTAGATTCTATAATGAGAGACAAATAGATGGTATAAAATTTAATTTTTTAATGTTATGTCACTTATTTTGAATAATTGATATTTAATTATATACATCTATTAATATATCTGTTATAAAAAATACGTTTAAAACAAATGAAAATATTTTTTAATCATACTCATATATATTGAAAAATACATATACTAAGTATTTAAATGTTAATTATTTTAAGTGTTTTAAAAATTCATTTATTCACAAATCTATCATAAGTTCACGAGAATCAAATTTATTCAAATGTATATGTTCTGAATCTTAATAAGTATACTTTAATACTGGAATAAAAATGTATATGTTCTGAATCTTAATAAGTATACTTTAATACTGGAATAAAAATTATTAAATTCGACTTGCTTATTATACAGTTGCTTTTTTTGGTAAAATTTTATAATATTCTTCAACTTATTTTTAGTATAATATGAGTATTAATGAGTTCTTCTAAAATTTGTTACAGGTATATTATAAAAAAATTATTTGCAAAAAAAAAGATAAATTATTTTTAAAAGAAAAAAATAAATTAAGGAATCACCTTTCTAAGCAGTGATATTTTTGTGTAGTCTTCATAATCAATTTCGAGTAACCATAAAAAAGATTTATTAACACGATTATCCTCAAGTTATTACTACTTGATAGAGTGTTCGAGATGGAGGCAAGCTTCCCACAGGATTATATGCTGGAGATTCAAGTGTGGGATTTCGATGTTACGACAGCTGATGATTTGATTGGTGTGACGCGAATTGACATCGAAAATCGATTTTACAGTCGACATCGGGCACATTGTGGAATCGCAAATGTTTATAGCACCACTGGTTACAATGTCTGGAGGGATCGAGAGAAACCTGTACAGATTCTGGAGCTTCTCTGTAGGAAGAACAATTTACCGCTACCGGAATACGGAGAACACGAAATTAAGATTGGCAAGCAATCATTTCCCTTTCACGCCGTGATCGAACGCGAAGGCGAAGTAGGTAAGTAATATCTCTGTCGGTTGAGAATTATTATTGTGACTGCTAAGTGATATTGCGGTAGAGAGTTCATATCCTGATATAACTCAAACACTTATTCATTTGTGATTTACAATTCAAATAGAAGATGGAGGATCGTATTTACCTATAATAACCATTACTTGTTTGAATCTTATCTCAAAATCTTAATAGATGAGATATTCAGAATGAATATCCGAAAGTTGTACAAACTAAAAGTAACATAACATCAATGTTATAATTTCTCAACAATATAAATGTAATATATAACACACTTATACATAACAGTTACATTGTGAAGTGTGAAATTATAATAAATTGATGTCATGCTATATCGTTAGTCTGTGGGAAGAAAAATGTTTCAAAAATTTTTGATTTGCTTTCTTTTGTATAGAGAAGCTAAATAGTAAGTCTTACATAATCTTTCTGAAATTAATAAATCAATAAATTTAAAAAAAAATTGTATCTTTGATTTTAAATAAAAATAAATAAATAATAGGGTAAAATCGACTATTATGGGATGGGCTCCTAATATGAAATAATAGGGTTTCTGCTAAATTAATAAATATATGTGATTGATTCTATAATGAACTTTTTATTTTTAAAGTAAAATAATTTTGTTATTAGAAAATGCATTATTAGATCATGTGTGTCATTACAAAAAAGATTTGTGAAATTGGATATTGTCAAATTTTATCGAGGTTAGTCTTTAAATTTTCTTTTATTGTATAAAAATAAATATTTGATAACAAAGTCTACAAAGACAAAAATGATGATTATGATTAATCACATTGCGTGTGTAAAATTAATATGCAAAAATCGCACGGCATTTTCGATATTAATAGTACGATAATAACTCAAGAGGCTTGTATTGCAAATGATAATAATCATATTTGTATGTATAACAAGCACTGTGGCGTTGTGTATTTTATCACCGGAAAATATTTAATAAATCAGAAATTTAACAAAATAAATGCACGCTGAATCGTATTTATTATATTTTAAACCAATTATTAATAAATGATTTATACGCGGCACAATTATGCACGGTTTTGTTTTGTTTAAATTGTTCAACTTGATAAATAAAAAATTGCATTTAAATGACATCGACAGATTCAAATTACGAGTGAAATGTATCTGCATTCATGTATCTTTACAAAACAATTATTATCTGCGAATATCAAGGCACACAGGAATTTATAATACTTATATCTATCGCTTCTGTACAGGATGTGAATACATCGAATATTTAAAAATAAGTGATTCGACATGCTTGCACATCGTTAATCATAAGACTCAGTTGATCGAGAATTGCTAATGAATAGCTAATGGTTTGGAAGAAGTTATCGTTATTTTATGAAGTGAGGTTGACACTTGCCATGCGCATAATATAACATGGCGAGGTTTGTGTAAACTTGTAAACAGCACGTCGTACATTGTAAAAACAAGCATCAAGGCTACGTGCCAGCCGATTTGTTATCATCCGAAATATTTAATGTTGTACAGGATGATTAAAAAATAAGTACCAGACTTGAATATCCTGAAAACAAGACATTTGAGAAAATGTTTTATACAAAATTATAAGATTTCAACAAATGCATTAACAGTAATATCTATTTGCTCTTAAAGTATTTTTCCGATCAAATTGTAAATAATTTTAATTTTTTAAAAATAATGTTAGATTTTAAATTAATGATACAATGTACAATAATTAATTTTATATATATTATAAATCACATAGATTTCCATATTAATAATTAATATGCAATATAAGAAATTATTGTCCATTATTTATACAATATAACAATACATTTCTAGTTGTAATGTTTTAACAATTGTTTTCTGAATTTGAAATCAAGAATAATTGTTTTGTGAATAATTGTTTCGTGAATAATTAAAATTATTTCAACATGTAATTTGTTTTCAAATTATCTTTAAGAAATATCTAAGAAATATAGAATTCTACCCGATTTAATGCTCAAGTGACTATGATATAAGATTAAAAAGTTTAAAATATATGGAAATACGATTCTCTCATAGAAAAAATAGAATTTAGTTTGTTCCAAGACAAACTTTGAGTTTTTCAATTGAATCACAATTACGAATGAATAACATAAATGTGCAATTTAAGTTACATCTCACCGATGATTGATTTTTAAATACATTGTAAAGGATAATGTTCTGACAATTCCTCACAAATATTAAATGGAATACAACAAAATTTCATAATAAGTGAGAAACGACATTAGTTTAAGACATATTACGAACAGTGAAGTTTGAATACCCGAAAAAATAACAGTGTAATTATAAACCTCGCTTCGCTTTGTAAGCAAAAGGAATATGGAATGATTCTCGTGTGAAAAGTTGTAAATTCATGGAACTTTGTTTTACGTGGAAAGTATACTTATACAAGTCTTATTGTGAAATTTTAATTTGTTATATCTTCTAAAGCAATGCTGTCCTCTACTGAATTTTAGAAAATTTTTAGAACACTTTCCTACAATATATCTAAAAACCCCATAAAATTGATGAAGTAAAACTGCACATTTATTAGTTACAGCAATGTTACTGCAAACTTTTTTTTGTGCTGTATAAAAAATATCAGACAGTATTTATCATTCATTGATGTTTATTATTCATCATCGATGATTTAACTCATTTCTAATGATTAAAATCATTTCTCTGGCTGGATAGACTACTTTGATACCTCCTAACATTCCTAACAATTGTTATTGACCCAACTAAATCTCTGGAAGTGAGTTATAATAGAGAAACTGAGATCAATATGTCATGACCACATCTCTGGAGTTTATCCCGAAGAGAAAGACTGATAAGCGATAAATATATATTTACATTGAACATATTTGGATTTCAATGTATTTGATTGTATTCTTAGGTAATTTGCTGATTCCCCTCTGACAGTCTTTTTTTAGCTAATATTAGATTCATTAGTTTATTATTTCAATATTCATTATTAATCTCGAGAGATCCAAAAATAAACAAAATTCTTTTTTGTAAATTTGTATTACACACACAAAAAGAGAAATAAGAAACTGACTTTAAGAAACTTACACTAAATAATCAATGTGCGCCGACAGACAGAGAAGAATACATGGCTCTCAGTGTACTTCATCACTGGCAAGATTTTCCTATTTGCGGATGCGCTCTGGTACCGGAGCACGTCGAGAGACGGCCACTTTTCAACGTTAAGAGACCCGGTCTTGAGCAGGTTGCATGAAATACAACGTCTGACCATGAAAAGTAACTCCGTTCGTTAGGAATCCGACCGTATCCGTGATACATTCTCCCCTGGAAGAATAATTTTTCTATTTTAATTAATCTCACTTATCAAATGAGTTACATTTCTCCCATCAGATTAAAAATCATCGCGAAATACTTTGGTCTATATATGAATAAGTCCGATGTTTTCCATTGTTACTGTTGACTTACAAAATGCACTACAATGACATAATGATAAAAGAATACATTGTAAAAAATATATAATTGAAATTGAAAGTCTTGATATAATGATAAAAATATCACAATTTCAATAGTTTTCAAGTTATAAGTGCAATTATAAAATTGATATATTGCGTATTAATTTAAAGGAAAGTCATCGATACAAATCTTCTAAAGTTTGCTTTGTTCAGGAATTAAAAAATTAAGAAAGAAAAAGAAAATGTTAAAATAGAGCATTTTTTATTTTTATGATGAAACCTAAATTCATCATTCGAAACCGTTGAAATCCTTTATCTCCTAGAAAAATAAAATAACAATTATTTATCTACAATTATTTATCTAGATCTAGGAAACATTACAAAAATTAGATTTATTATTTATTGTGCTAAAATAAAATGTTTTTAGTTTTGTACCATTGAAGTGTCTTTAAAATAAAATTAATTGCATATTTATGTGTTGGAAAGTGAATGGTAAAGTAGAGAACGTAATTTTCTTGATTTACATTAAATATAATGTCCCATTTTATTTTAACATTCAAACATATGGAAATCAGAGTTTTTGAAAAAGAATGTTTTAGATCAAAGATCCCTGTCCCTCAGTGGGACTTTGTGCGAGATATCACTCGGGATGGATTGATAGAAGAAGAGTGATAGATGAAGAGTGATTCTCTCTCTTAACGACAAGCTGTCAATTAAAATTACAACTGATAAAAGGAAAGTCGTACATGAGCTAATGATTCGGACTGATGTGTGACAGTTAATCATGAGATTATAAAGCGTAGAGAATATTATATTATTTGTATCAGCCAAATATAACATTATAATTACCTTGTGGCTGCTTCGTTGTCCAATGACTGGATTCCCAATCTCTCCCTTTTCTCTTATTACACGTTTATGACATTTATATAACTGGTATCCGTGAAAATATGCTAATTACGCGGTGCATTAATTATCAGAATGTGACAAATTTCGGGGGATTTTATCTCTCAAATCAGTGGTATTTATACACTAACCAAAGTTACTCTATGCGCAGATAGCGAACATTAAAATATGAAATTGATAATTATAATTTTGCTTATTAATTAAATATCGCGACGCTGTTCAATTCGTAATCAATTTGAAATTCTGTACACGTGACATTTGGTTAATAAACAAAAAATTAGCGATTTCACATACATGCAACACAATACGACAAATTAATTGTTAACTAAAGCGTAATGGAACGTTGAGAAATATGAAATTGAGATGATGACTCAGTATCGCACACGTGCAGCATTGAACAAATAATATCTCGCGGAATTCTATACGCAGTAGATATAATAAACAATATACACCTAACACGCCGAATACGTGCTTTCTGTAATTTGAATCTACCGATACGTGTATCATTCGGCGTCCTTAATGTGAAAATAATAGTAAAATTGTATTTTAATCAATGAAAATTTGATATCTGTGTTAGCTACAAAGAGAGAAAGATTTATTTGAATTCAAAACTCCTATTTATGTTTATTTTATTGAAACAATTTAATTTTGAATGAAAACTATTTTGTTTAATTTCAAAACTTTAGATTGAATGCAATCAATTATGTTTTTTAATTTCCAGAATCAATTTGTTTGGACTATTTTAATGATTACATTTATTAAATTTACAGAATCTTTCTCTCTGAATAGACTACGCATTGGAATTTGAGGATAGCGAATTGAAAATTGGAATTTCACTAATCAGAATAAAATTAATTGGATTAAAATTATCCAATTGGTTAAAGTTTAATCTCTCATTCGTCAGTTTACAATGCGTAGTATGACACAGACTTTAAGGTCTGCATTGAGAACACGAATTGAATTCGGAATGTGAACTACAAATTAGATTGATTGATCAATGATTCACAGTTCGCAATACGAATCCAATCCTTATTCATACATAGTGTAACACGGGCTTTAAAGAGTAGGACGCGATATACTCGAATCCGAGCTGAAGAAATAATTACCTCGTGTGAATAACACGAGACGATAATTTATGGTTGACATTCATAGTCAGTTCTCATATTTATGACTGTCTTAAGTACAGTCCCTTAAAATGTCATAAATCAATCACAGAGCCGTGTATTAGCATCAAGACATTATTTAAGACATTACTTAAGACAATCTGAAACAAGAACGATCTCTAAAACTCCCGTGTTCTGTTGCTCCAATTTCTCTACAATATTCTTCTACATAATACGAATAAAATGAAAGAAAATAAAAGAATAAAATAAAAGAAATAAGAATAGCTTTTTCTATATAAGAATAAATAAAAAATGAAAATGCTCCATCTATACGAGCTTCCACGATTATTTAGCGTAAATAATATATCTTATTGCCTTATAAATACACACATTTTACTTATTTTTGATAATACAAGTAAATCGCGCGGAAGTAGTGTGCTTCGATAATATAATAAATGGGTTTAAAAATTTAATTGTGAAAGTTAATAGAAAATTGACAATCGCTAATTATTTAGAGGGATTAACCGAGTTTTGCGAAGTGTGATAATGCGACACACGCGCTGCTGCCTATCCATTCGAGCCTGCGAATGATAGCACGATGACCTTGTAAATACGTCGTACGTCGACAAACACCAAGGCTACATGCCAGTCAAATCAAACACTCGAAATATTCGATGCTTTATAAAATAAAATCACGCCGAATTCAATAATTTCTATTCTTGATAAATAGATTACCGCTGTACTTTAATATAAAAATGAAATTTATAATAAAACATATTCGCATACATTAAATTATTATTAACGTTATTAATTATTATACATCAAATTTTTACGTTCTTTATAAGAAACATACGATTTTATTAATAATCCTTTTCATAAATTTAATAAATAAGAAATAAAATTAAGTTTTCGCGTAAAATGTAGCGTGACTGATTCTTTTTTTTTATTTTGTAAAGTTATATTACAGTTAAAACTAATAATAATAATGTTACTACAGATAATAATAATTTGAATACTAATGTCATAATTATTATACAATTTTATTCATTACAAAACGTAGATATATTTCTAAATTAGATTTTCAATTACCTTTAATAATTATTTTAAATAGAGTAATTAATTGTGATTATTTAAATTTTTATTAAGGAAAGAGATTAAACAATTAGTTGATTATGAAAGTATATTTAATGCTTAACTATAAAAAATTAAAAAAACAAAATAAGTTGTAAAAATAAAATATATTCTAAAAATCGATATACTACATATAAATTGATATAAACTTTAAATGCGATGTTGACCATTTATAACTTGAAAATGACTACGATATTTTTACATTAGATGAGTATTTCTTTTACAGATAACATTATCGAAAAAACTAAAAGCTTTGAATAAAAAGCCCCGTAAAATTCAGTTTTTTAATCTTGAAAGTTTTTTACTCCGATATGTATTTTCTTTATAATAATAATAATCTTTATTTGACGTCATATTTTTAGAATAAAATTTTTATAATCACACGTCCAAATAATTTTCTTTAAATAACTGTAAATAATCAAAATTCGTAATGTAATGACTAATTGTAAGTGATAATCATAGATATAGTTACGTTTAATATCTAATATTGTTAGATCCCATTTAAAAAATATATAAGTTTATCAATTTATTAGATACTGTAACAATGTAAAAACATTTCTATTTTAATATTTATTTAAAATTTTAAAGATATTAAATATCTTAGATTAAACCTTAGATATTAATCGTATAATTGAGAAAAAAATATTAAATTTTTATAAATATTTGATTGAATAATATCAGTCATATATTTACCAAATGTAAACATATATTTATTTACAAGAACCATTAATTTAATCTAATTATTATCATTTATTATTTAGCAAATATTTATTTTTCATGAATAAATGTTGATAGTATGATTCAAACAATTATTTATTAAAATTTAGTACATTTTTCTCGCAATGCACGATTATATTATAAGTTTTCTGTATAAAAATGGCATTTTAGGGCAAACTCGAAATGTGGATCGACATGTTTCGAATAGAACAATTGCCACCGAAACCGGCGGTCAACATTGCTCCCCCAATACCGGAGGAATATGAAATTCGCGTTATTGTTTGGAATACCGAAGACGTGCCATTGACTGAGAGCCAATTTCTCACCGGAGAAAAATGTTCTGACATTTATGTCAAAGGGTATGTCACTATACGTATAAGATCGATGGGTGAAGATATATCATTAAACTTATCTAATTATATATAATAACAATAAAAGAAGCGTTGGAATGACATCCGAGAGTTCGATTAAATTATCATTATTATAGATATTACATTATTACTCACGATTAATTAGCTCTCCTGATTAATAATTTATAAGTGTACCAAGACAATATTTTCGATCATATTTAATGCAGACATTTCAATTTATTAAATTGGAACAAAAATCGAAAATCAAACGTGGAAATTGCAAATTATCTTGTGATATTTAGAGGTAATATTGGAGACAATTTTTGCGAATTCGAATATATCTTGCTTTAAATTTTTCATTTTCAATTCATAAATTTTAATTTAGGATATCGTAAATGCAATTTAAATCATCTATTTATTGATTCTTCCGCTTTAATATAGTTTGCGAATAAATTCGTCTTTAATTTTTATTATTGTATCAAATATATAGAGTTAAAATTTTCAAACGTAATGATTTAAATATCTCGAAAAATAAAGAAGATACGGAAAAACGTTTCAGAATTTTTTGTTTCCAACAATAATTTCATTTTTAATCAATTATTAATAATTTTCATTCTAATGCAATAAAATAACTGACTTTACGGTAAGGATGATCGATCAATTCGCTATTATCAAGTTCGCTATGTATTCGAAATAATATATGCGTAGATGGATTCAATACGAGAATTACCAAAAAACCGACGTCCACTATAACTCTCTGACCGGTGAGGGTAATTTCAACTGGAGATTCGTATTTCGCGTCACATATTCAAAAGGCGAGCATGTCATGATAGTTCGTCGAAAAATGTCTGTGTTCGCCAAAAATGAAGTCGAGGAGAAGTTGCCTTGCAAGCTTCATCTACAAGTCTGGGACAGTGATCATTTTTCTTCGGATGATTTTCTAGGTAAAATAGTCATCAATTTGTTTCAATATAGAAACGTTTAAAATATCGATTGATGATTGTAGCCGATTAAACTAAATGAATCTCGCATGCCATACAATACCCGATAAAATACTCGATACAAAACAATCACATAATTCATTTTATACTCAATTATTTTTAAATCAACTTGGATACATATGTAAATTTAGTTTGTATAAATTGTAGAACAATTTTTTATTTATATTTACAATATAAATAAAAAATTTTGCGCGTAAAGAGAAAACTGTATTTCGTGAAACAAAAATTATTTACATATCTGGAAAAATAAATTATACCAAGCTTATAATTAATTGAAGTATCATATTGTATAAATGTTACAATAGTCTTCGATAAATCAACGTGTTGCAGGAGAGTTGACACTAGACCTGTCCAGAATGCCGCGTGGAAGTTCAAACTCCAAAAACTGTACGCTGAAATTACTTGAACCGCAATTACCTACAATAAATTTATTCAAAGTTACTCATACTAAAGCTTGGTGGCCTTTTATGTGTGGTATTGACAGCGATAGATATATTCAAGCGGTAAAATGTTACAAAATTACAAAGGTTTTGATTAAATTATAAAACAAATATATGTATAATTATATCATCAATGTGCATAATTAGATGAGGACTATTTTGTGAAGAAAGATAAAAATAATAGGTCTGCTTTTTATCGCTTTGATAAATTTGAACCGATACAATAAGTTGAAGTGAAACAAACGTATATTTGTTTCACTTTAACTTATTGCACTATGTGTACTTTCAGAAAGTGCAGTAATAGAAAACAGATCTAAAATTATTAGATAATATTTCATAGTATGATAATTATATCCTCTTTCACTGTAGGGTAAAATTGAATTGGAAATATCCGTGTTAAAAGCAATAGATGCAGATAATCAACCGGCAGGCCAAGGAAGGGATCCACCTCAAAATCTTCCATCTCCGAGGTTCATCTCTTCTCACTCTAATTTTATTTATATCCTTACGTTTACTTGAATTATAATTAAACATTTAAGTTAATATAGAGATTAAAATTAAATGCGTTTAAATATCATTTCTTTAATAATCTAAATTCTATTTTGATAAAATTAATCCGCTTAATCCTCTTCTATATTCAATATATTTCCAATTATTAGTTATTATCGAGAATTATTGTTACTATGGCATTATATTGTGATTTACAGACGACCTGATACTTCATTCTCTTGGTTCCGTAATCCATGGAGAGCGTGTTATTTCGTTGTTTGTCGTTATTATAAATGGCGAATACTATGCTGTCTTATGTGTACACTATTTGTGCTTTTAATAGTATGCGGAATTTACGCTTTTCCAGGATACCTTGTTAAACGTCTCTTAGGCGCTTAGTTTTTTGTGAAGCAATATATTTATATAACAAACGTATATATGAATACCTCTAATTGTAAGTCATATTTCATAAATATAAAAATTAATGTAAGTAATTATATATGGTAATTTATATGAAAATAATAAATCAATAACCATGTTCGCTTTCTATTGTGTTCATCTGTTTTTACTAAAAATATTAAAGTTATTAAATTATAAATAATAAATTATTCACAAAAATGGATATACATATATATATACATAATTAATATAAAACGTAGAAATATGTTTCTTTCATTACACGCACACAACTTTGCGAATTTTTTTTACTTTCCGAAATAGAGATACAGAATTAATTTTCTCAAATCTTATATGTTTCCTAATAATGGTACAATTTTTTTATATTTAAGAAGTAGATCATATTAAAAATCAGGTTATTTTTGTTATTTAACTTTCCATGACTCTCTATAGCCTCCCAGCACAAACGATTAAGCAATATGCTGCGTATCAACATAGTCCTTTCAACGATCGATGATTAACCATCTATATTTCGTGCTATGCGTATATTGCTAGTATAACAGATCTTCGTATAACGTGCAGGCGATACATTCTGCATTGTATTACTGATTGTGAGAGATAAAAGTGGTTGCAATTACAATACTATAATTTAATTATTACAATTACTACAATCATTTTTACAATTATATATATTTATGTAATTGTTTTAACTATGCAAATATATAATTACACAATTGTGCTAATAATATAGCCTACTGCTTAAAAATTTATAGCTTTTCTTAATATAATAATTATTATCATCATATAAATAGCAAGCGAATGTTAAGAAATTGTTATATTCATTAGAATTGCAATTACATTTACTGAACAAAAATGTTTATTTTATTTACCGTTTATATTTTCTATATCAGTATTTGAAATTATCATAAATTACAGTAGAATTTTTTTATGTTTGAGATAACTACTATACAGATAAGATTATTATTACTAACACTGTAGAAGTAATAATCATAAAAATAGAGCTACAAGCTTTATCGCTGCAAAAAAATGCCTAAAAATTTTTGTCTGAATTTTTAAATCTGAGTTTCTGAAAATAATGTTACATAATCTGTCTTAATTATTAAAATAGTTTCTATAAATGTGTCTGAAACATGTAGAATTGGTGTCTAAAAAATTAGACAATATATTTGAAAGCAGCAATGTTTAAAGTCGGACAGACTGTGGTTTTATAACTCGATGAGTGGATGTTTTTTGCTTTCTTTAGTCAAATTTTTCAATGTTATTCTGTTGCTAAAGATTAATAATAAGCAATTTAATAAAATTTTACGAAGAAACTTGAAATTTTAACTACTTTAAATGAAGTATAAATGTTCAGACACCAAAATTAGAAATATTCAGACAACTTGTTTGAAATTCTTTTGTCTGAATTTATCTTGAAAAATGTCTGAACTTTTTATTAAGCATTGAAATCGGAAATTTTCCGACTGTGATAAGAAATTCAAGATTAAGAAAAAAATTAAAAAATCAAAGAATATGTGTTTATTTGTTACCAAATTTGATGTTCACACATGTGAGTGTGTGCGTGTGCACGCGTACGTGCATGTATTTCTCGCAAAGAATAAAAAGTAGTGTGATTTTATCGTAAGGACTGCGAATAAAATAAACAAGCAATTAGTTGCTGTAATATAATAGATAAATTGACTCTCTGATCGATGTATTGCTGTTGCCTGCCTAACTCCATTGTCAAATTAGACATTCGTTCTTGTTGATCGGACAGACACATCAGGGAAATACGTTAATTGAAATTTTACGTACTAATTAACACATTATGATACTCGGTTGTCACTTCCCACGATATTCTCTATGTATCCTTTTGGTGCGTTGTATATGATTCAATAACTTTAAGATCTCTTTAAGAATTCTATAGACACATCTTTAAGATATTTCATAAAGAATTCTGAAAGTTATACAATCATGCATTATACATATTATATCATTTTTATGAAACTTGGCTTATGAGAAAATGTAATTTGATAATGCTTCATTCAAATCTCAGATTAAAAATAAAAATTCGAAAAAGTAAATCTAATATATTAGGCGTTGGAATTAATTCGTAGCGTTTTACAAGTGATGGGAAGTACTTTCATTAATGTATTTTTTAATGCTCATGTGAAATAAATAACATTCTTTCATTAAAAAACGCTACGAATTAATTCCAACACCTAATAAAAAACGGACAGAATTTTTTTTTAAATTATCATACACATAAAACCTTTAGAGAATTTTTTTAAGTAATTTCCAAATTTCCAACTTTGAGATTTATTTAAAATCCATCAGTGCTACATAAACAGTTCAAACTGATTTCCAACTTTGAAATTCTGATTATAAACTCTGTGACAGTTCTTCATTAGATAGTCCTTCACTGGAGATTATTATTTTAGCGTTTGAAATTTGTTATTTTCAAGCTACATTGAGTCTCAGCTATATCAAGAACTTCCTAAAATCAAGATTTACTTAATCAGATTATTTCTTGAAATTTAAATTTTAGTGTGCTGAGACCAGAATCGAATTCAGCAATTTCAAAAATTTTTAGAAAACTCCTTCAAGTTTCTCTGAAAGTTCTCATCTTTAAAGGATTAACCCATGAAGGATGCAGATACCGTGTTTAAACCTCATTTCCTCTCGTGAACAAATGAAACGAGCTTGGAATACTCTATATCACAAGATAATATTAGACATCTGTACAATACGTTGCCAACAAGAATTAGGACTTGTATTCAAGCACCCGATATTAAATTATAAAATATTGTCCCAAAATTTAATATTTTGCAACAAATTGTGTTTAATTTTTTGAAACCTTAATAATTTATTCACATCGTTTCCTTCAATGTACCTATAAATTTTGTCAAAATGAAATTTCCATCTCAATGTTACAATTTAAATTTCCGGCAATGTACAGCTGGCCATTGAAAGGTTGCAACACTTTTTTTTTATAGTTAACTCAGCTTTGCTCGTAGAGCAATCAAAAGTAAATGGTTAGATCCATAAGTAAAAACCAATCACTCGGTGAAAAAACCGCATTTTGAAATCCATTTAAAAAAAAGTGTTGCAATAACCTTTCTGTGATCGGCTGTACATATAATATTAATCCTAATCATACAGAGCTCATTTACGCTATTCACATATTAATCTAATTTTATTTACGGGTGTGTTTTTATGAATTTTTTATTTAAAAGTTATTATGACTTCTGCATTTTAGTAGAATTTTCATCTCAGAAATCTGCCATTAATGAATGTAAAAGCAGTTTGAAACGCCTTTGTATACATACATATATACAGAAAATAATTATACTAATTCTCTTCTGAACCGCAAAGACGCTAATCACTTTAAATGCATTTAAACACTTTAAATGCGCTATATCACAGTTCAGGCTTAGAAATTAGTAATCAGCCATATTTTAAATGCAACAACTTTGATTCACAATCACATATACATATACATATATCGCGTTGCGTTGAGTGATACGAAATTGTTGTGGTTTGAATACGACTAACATCGCAATACATCGCATCTAAATGAGAGTGCCGTGTACTCGTCACTTTGCTTAATTTATTCGTCAAAGCGTTATATATGCGACAAACGTTGAAAGTACTGTGGGAAGTGACGTCGTACAGGCAAACGTCGTATCATGTGTAACGTGAAAATTAACAATTTTAATTAATCATGTTTTTCCAATCGACAAGATCGACAGGAATACATTTATTTTGACAATGGAATCGGTTGAGTATTCAGAGGCATATTGATCAAAGTGTCGATTCATTCGTTATATCATTATAGTAATTGGTTATTTTATTCATAATGATTCAACAATGTAATTGCGATTACTTCGTATCACTTTCAACTCCGCGAAAATATAATACATTTAAAAAATATATAAATGACACATGTGAATGTACATTTTTAAAAATAATACGATTTTAAATGAAATAAGATTTGAATCCAATTTTTGAGCTTTTCACAAGTTTTATTCTTTCCTATTTGGTGATATTCTTTAGTACCTTTACCTTTCAATAATGAGATCAGATTTATCAAACTTGAACTTCAACAAATGAATTCAAATTTTAATTTCCATATGTTAAAATTCTATTATCACAGGCCCGGTTTTTCATTATCTTCATCCATGACATCATCATAAATAAAGTTGGACAAAACATTAAGTTAATCACATAAGTTAATCAGGTAATGAAAAACCGGACCTTAATCTAACATTTGTAAATATTACAGAAAGAAAAGTTCAGATTTATTTTAATACCTTAACATTAAATTTTGTTTAATATTAATATTTAATATTTTATTATTTTTTTAATATTTTGGATGTTCAATGTTTTAATTTTCTTTTAATAATATTAAAATATTTTATTTAATATTTAATTTAATATTAAATTTCATTATTTTGATATTTAAAATTAAAAATTTCAAGTATCTATTAATATAAACTAACGAGCGATGTATCAGGACGTTTTATATCTTTTATTCTGTCTCTAGAGATTAGTAATTAATTAACAATTAGCAACGAGTTTTCTAATGTTCTAGCCTTGGTTTGTAGTTATCGATATATCTCGCGCCATATGGCAATGCGGCGACCGACGACTCGCGTACCAACGCGAAGTTGCCGCCGTGCGGTTCGAACATAGCCAACGTCACAGTGCTGTATCTCGCGTGCATAACGAAAGTCTGGATCAGTGTCGAGCGCGTATTATTTCGAGTCATACTCGTTCAAAATACGTCGCGAGTGAAAAACAAGTGTCGAGAATGCAGCGCAGAGATGACGGACGAGTGTCATGTCGCGTTAATTAGTGCGCGCAATTCTAATTAGCCGCATTTTCCCCGATTGATCCACGCGAACGAATGTACCGGACAAGGATGGAGTCAAGTAGAAGGCAACGACAGTGTATCGATCGGTGAGTTAATTCGTTCGTTATATTATCATTCAGGTATAAAG